GTGAAGAAATTTTTCCTGATATCCAATTTAAACCCCCCTGTGGCGCAACTAAGCCATTTCCTCTCGTCCTATCACAAGCCAGAGGAACTGAATGCCCTCGTCAATTATGTGTAACCACTGAGGAGAAAGGCCACAACCTGTTGGGACACAATCACATAAGCATCTTCTCCCTATATAAAGAAATTTATGTGAAAAATATCGTTGTTGTGATAGGCGATGGACCTTCCAGGTCAGGGAGAAATTTCAAGCACTCAAACCACCAGAAGAATTTCATTCCAAGTGTGCGGATATAATCTTACTGTTAGACCCAGAAGTTCAGATGACATAACAAACACAAAGCAAAGCAAGCAAAGGACAAGGAAATGCATCCAAGAAATATATTCCCATGGTGATTGTATGGACCAAAACCCCAACTTCTATGAGTTTAAAAATGAGTCTGATAATCACATCTTATTAAAAGAAGACAATACATAAGGATAAGGTAAGCATCTTGACAACTGAGACTTGTTTTAAGCCAATGCTTGGAAAATTAGAGAGATAAATGTCTAGATTGCAGGGTAAAGATAAAATATGAATCTAAGTTTTAAAAATAAAATCTTTAAACCATTAGCATTTTTTTAGGATAGCTATTTTTACTCTTTCAGGGCTCCTATATGACTCCTCACTCGTTAGCAAAAGTAGTGGTAAGACAGATTCGCAAAAGAGAATATATCACCAGTAGATGTTTGCTGTAAGCTGCTAAGTTGCTTTAAGCAACAAGATGAACTGTTGCAATTACACCAATACTGTGTATTAAAATCTGGAAAATTTTGAGTTAATGTTAAATTTAAATGAACTCCAAGTATTTAAATACGTATCACTTCTAAAATCTCTTTTTTGTTCAACTTTAAAAGTGATGTTCAAAACTAAGAATAATAAAACCCCATACCTCGTCATACCGAGTTCTAAAAACATTTGATTACTTTGATTCAGCCTGACACAAACTTTTTTTTTCATTTCAGATTTTTGGTAATTATGTCTAAATCTTCTAAGTATTTTTTCTAACATCATAACTGCTCACTCCAACATAAGAAAAGATCTAAGGCTGTGCAACATCAGATTTTGATTATAACTTTCCCGCTTAGGGGTTCTCTTTGCTCCTGCAACGGGATACTAATCCAGCATCCAGCAAATAAATAATAGCTTTTGTTTTCTTTTATAAATCTCATTTGGGAAAACTAAACCAAACCAAACTGACATTGTTTCATGTGACTTTGCATCGGTCATAGCTTTTTGTCTCAGGATATTTCTGCCATTACCAATGCCAGAAAAAGGATCAGCTTAATTTCAAACTCATGTACTTTTGAACAAAGATTTTTCAAAGCAACTGGTGACATTTCAGCACTGTCAGATCCAAACCCAAGGCACTGTTCAGCTAGAGCGTGAACCCTGGCCTGAACTTAAATTCAGATCCAAACATAAAAAACATTACTTTTTTTTCCCTCCGCAGTGTGAAAACAAAATATGCAAACAAGCAAGGAAACAAACAAAAAATTAGAATGCTGTTTACATGTTAGAAGAAACCACCTACCTAAAACAGCTTGCTTCCCAGAATCTTTTGTTTTTTCTTTGCTGCGAGGCCGTAAATGGCACTTTGCATCTTTAATTTTAAAACGAGCTTTCTGCTTGATTGGAGGGGCTAATGAATCTGTCGATGTAAAGTAAAAAAGCTATCATTTGGGATGCAGATGAAATGAAGTCTGAAACTTATTCTTAAAAACAGACTCAGAAGTCTTCTTGGGACATAGAAAAGAGACAGCCCAAGAGTTATACACTTTGTACAAGAGGATCTGTTTCCATAAGTTCATTTTTTCACATAAGCACTACTCCGGAGCCCATAAAGATCAATCAATTTGCTAGTATCGCATATGCTCTGCATGTATGCTTCCCCTCCAGCATGCCTGCACATCTTCGTGGAATTTGCGTGAATTTGTCTCTTACTATGAAAAAGGTTAATTGCTACCTTTTTTTTCTGACTCTCTGTCTGTGATTTCCACATTACTTGGCTGTAGTTCTGCTCTTGCTAATGCCAACCAGGAATAAGATTAATTTAGTGGAGCTACGCTGTTGGCAGTTGAAAACCATCCAAAGGAAACGTCTTTATTTGACTGTGGTCTATGGCTTGCAAGCTCTATTCTTCAGCTTTAAATCCAAGCCAGTTAGGTCTTATGACTTTAAAGGCTGTTACACAGCCATGCACTGCTTAGAAAATGTAGCTGCTGGCTGACTTCCTCACAAAGTCCATGGTGGAAAAGGCTGGGCCCGGGCCGTCACCTGCCAGCCGCTGCGGGCTGCCCACGGGACCTGGAGCAGGTGGAGGATGGTCACAGGTAAATGCCACAACGTGGGTCTCTCTTTCCTTGGGAGGGCCTTGCCGAACCAGGACTATAGAGGTAGCAGCCACATCTGCTGCCATGTTACCTCACTCCACAGCATCGTACCTCCTAACGCATTCCAAATATATAAGAAATACGTGGTTAGAGAACTGGTAACAGCAGGTAATGATATGTGAAGTGGGCTGACACTTCCCACTGCTGGATGCTGTTTCAGCTGCTTCTAATTTTGCCAGACTTCAACCATTTTGAGCTGAACTTTTTTTTATGCTGAGTATCAGCTTTAGGACGCGTTTTGAAATGTCTCTGCAAAAATAATCCAGTCATTTCTGAGAACAAGATGAATGAAACACAGTATGTGCTCATAAAAGTCTCATAACCTTTTTATTGTGAACCCCCAATAGGAGGATCTCTGCTCCTAAGGAAGGACTTCGCAGGTGAGGGCTGGGACCCACCATAGCCTTTGGGTCTTGTGCTACTGATGGGCCCCTCTGGCTCACTTCCATGTCTGGGAAGCAATGCCGTTTTGATATGCTTGCTATTGCCTTGCTGGACTATGGAAAGTAAAGTACTCTAAATATTTGTCCTCACTGAACATATCTCAAACCTCCACCACTCCTCTTCTGACCTACCAACACAATGCCTCACTGAAGGGCAACTAAGCACACTCCAGCCCTCAAGGAAAGGCTGCAGAAAAGTGTGTGCATGATGAAACACAGGCTACTTTAATTCTGTTCTTGTGTAACTTGAGAGCTGTATGTCTTGCAATTCCCAAGTGGTCTGGGGGACCTCATCACCTACCTCCTAGATGCTAAGGCCTGGGTGAACAGGAGAGCACCTACCTGCGCAGCTGGGCAGGGTCGCGTTGCGTTTCTGCTGAGCCTTGCCTTGCTGGAAGTGTGTGCATGATGAAACACAGGCTACCTTAATTCTGTTCTTGTGTAACTTGAGAGCTGTATGTCTTGCAATTCCCAAGTGGTCTGGGGGACCTCATCACCTACCTCCTAGATGCTAAGGCCTGGGTGAACAGGAGAGCACCTACCTGCGCAGCTGGGCAGGGTCGCGTTGCGTTTCTGCTGAGCCTTGCCTTGCTGGACGGGAATGCCACAGCTCAGCGTGTAGCTGTTCTCCGAATCTGCGGGGCAGAACGCAGAGTCAGCACATGTGGCAACAGCCTCACAAAGCCTCTGCTCCCCTCATCACCCCCAGCATTAATGTTCGGTGCTTGAACAAACTTATTAATACTGCTAAATAAGGAGACATTTTAAGTGCTGAACGTGGATTTAAACGGCTGAAATAGTTTGCCAAAGGCTACTGCTTCACAGTCTTGACTATAAGTTTTGTTTCTTCCAGCACTGAAATGTTACATTTTATAAACAATTTGGCATGAAGTTAGCTGTAAATAATTCCATGGTGCACAAGTATAAAATATTTTGTGCTTGTCTGCGGCAGAGTCCTTATGCTTTGATCATCTCTATAATTTAAAAAATAAACCACGTACTTTACTAATAATTTTAGCTTCAGACTCTGGCAGAATTTATTGGCAGAAACAAAAAAACCCCCACATACTTAGAACCATAACAGGGTTTACATACTGCACAGATAAAACTGTGTATTGGTGCATACAAATTAGATAAATGCATGGTTCCAGTAATCTCTGCTAAACTGAAAATAAAGTGTGAACAGCTCGACCGCACATCATGCCAGGACTAACATGAAAAGTAGAAACCCTTGTGGAAAATAATCCTGTGTCAGAACCAGAATGTGTATGAAAAAGTAATAGCAACCCCCTGCCCCACCTGCCCTGCAAAACTGTGTAGATGAAAATTACCTGTAGAAAGTGATAAAAAAAAAGGGGGGGGAGGGGAAGATGAGATGCCTGAGTTTCTGTAAACAACAATGCCTGAGTTTCTATAGATAACAGTCAGCTGAACTATTACCAACAAAATTTATTAAAAACCAGCAACTGCCAGCAACTAATACAGAGAGATGTTTTTTCCATACTGCCTCCTGAGACAGATTTAGTTGTATCCATTTTGTATGAGACAGTAAGACAGGTTTAAAGCTGTTGCTATGTCATCCTTTGCTCCACTGGCTGAGCCGATGGAAGTTTTATGCTACCCTGGCTGGTGTGGGAGCTTGATCATGTGCTGTGGCAGCCGCAGCGTTAAATTGCCCAGCATGTCCCACTCCTCCTCTCCTGCCCCTGCATCACATCGTGCTCACTAAGCTGAGTTCCTCTCAGGGGAACCCTCCGCTTTGGGAGTCGCTTCTGCTCCTGCTCAATCACACAATTACAGGGTATTTCAGGCCATGACGCAGAGTCCATCATTTTAAGCAGATGCCTGGATGGACACAGGGGACTTACTCATATTGAAGAACATGTTACTAAAACTTAGCAGGAATTCACTGAAATCAACTGTTCAGTTTTCCCCCCACTTTAGACATAGCAATTTAATATATTAAAATTTTTCTTTTGCACCATCTGGTTAAGGTAGTTGTGTGTCTCAGATTTTTGTTAAATTTTTTTCCGCCAAATGACATCTCAAATTAAAGAACTAAGGGCCAAACCTCTAATGTAACTGACAGTCAGCTCTTCTTGTATTTAATGATGTGCATGTTGCCCCAATTTAATTTATAATGATGTTTTGCTCATTTACAGTTGTCCATAACAAAAACTGAATGCAAGAGTCATGAATACATTAGCAGAGAAGAAATCATCAAGTCACATTCTAGACTTCGGAGGACAAATATTTTGTACAAACCTGGAACAAAAAGAGTATTGGATGGGCACGACAGGAAGCAGCTCTCTATGCCTCCTGTCTTACTACACACTAGCTGAGCCTTGGGAGCTGGTTTGGCATTCGGGAGACATTTCACCATCTCTGAAGAGAAAAGAAAAAAGAAAAATGAAAAAAATCAGGCACTGCCCAACCCAGAACTTTGTGCATCCACTTGCTTACAGCGGTGAGGAAAGGTAGAAGTGGCAGCAAAGCAAAATCACAGGCCCAGGCATTTCTGAAATAAGCACCTAATAGGGAGAGAGTATCTGGATCTTGAGCTTGGAAAGAAAACTCCTTCACATTTTTAGACCTAAACTCTAGATCAGTCTTTCCCCTCCAATCCTCCACTTTGGGACTGTTCAGGTCCAGATCTGCACCCTGAAAGGCAGGTGTCTCTCTAATTATGAGCACAATTCTGTGTACACAACTTGATCACAGAAGCAACAGGAAACACTAATGACCTGAGATGTCCTCTCCCCCCTCTTGGAGGCACAGCTCTCTGGTTTAACAGGCCCAGTACCACACCACGCACAGGAGTCGCCCTCACAAAGATCTGTTTATTTAGATGACCGCTAAAATGGTGTTTTCCACTTCTCACTCCAACTCTCGCAGACTTTTTAATTTCAGCTTCACGCTCAAGCTTCTGGAAGTAGAAAACTTCCCAGCCGGGCCGAAGTGAGGCAGGACATGCTGGGATGGAGATGGATAGTCCCACTCGTCCTTTCAGCCACTGCCGAAATGCCCCAAGCAATGCTAGAAGGGACACTGTGACGCACGTAGACATCAGCCATTTCTCATCAGCACCCACGGCACGAGGCACGTTGCAGCTCGTGCAATGGAAATATCCAGCTTCTCCTCTTGGCTTCATGGCAGGATGAAGACAGAGTATCCCGCAGGTCTCACAAGCTGCTCTTCGTATTTGGGTAAGGGATGGTTTGTGCTGAAACTACATAGAGTTGTTACGAATTGTTGGATCAGTCTCTGCTTCACCCTGAGATGATGGTATGCCACTGATAATTATAATCCTGCATTTATTTTAATTGGACATCTTTTGGGACTGAAGTGTTACTTAAGTACATCTTTCTCCACACAAATGACGAGGTTCATTCTCAGCTGCAGCTGGCAGGTGACATCACTACCTGCACTGAGACACCCTCACCGCTTCCCTCCTTTTCCCCAGAGATTTAACCTCTGCACTGACTGCTGGCCAAGTGCAGCTGGGCACCTCTTCAAGCAGTTATTTCACACTGCATCAGCTGGTTAAATCTCAGCCAGGTGCCTGTAGAGCAGTTCTTGCTTCAGTCCCGTAAAAACACTTGTTCAGGTCCATACGCTTTTTCTCCGACTGTTCCTTGCTCTTTCTTTCAAACATGCTCACCTTACAAGATGGACTTGGCTGACTCTTGTTTTGCTCACGGTTGACTGTGCTACTGCAAATGCCATTTTTCCTACCCCTCTGCTCACCACTGAACCACACCAAGGTAGGGGGGAGATCAGAGCTGCAGCATCCGAGTCCAGTAGGAAGCAACCAGGCTGGTTTGGGTCCGCCGGGGTTTGGGAAAAGCCCAGTAAAGCTGGGATGAAACAGACCAATTCAAATGTGGTAGCTGGAATGAGCCTTGCTTGGCTTGGCTTGAGTGCAGAGGAAGGGTGCCAGCAGCTGCCAGCTGGGTTGTATTCCTGGCCTCACTAGTGGTCAAAGATAAAATATCCAAGTCCCTTGAACACGCCTGATGTTTGCATCTCAAGTATGGGAATAATCATCCTCCACTTACCTCCCTCTTAAGGCCTTTTACGTTACTTTGGTGATGCTTAGAAGGAAATTATTTCTTTGGACTGAGGAGACAACACAAGCGCAAAGTGTCATTGCTGAGCAAAAGAGGATTTTGTTGCTGCAAGTGTCTCCAAATCATGTGGCATTCAGGATCATTAGATATCATTCTCCTCCTTTTTATTGTGCTTTTGTAACAATGTAGAACACAGTTTCCTCTAAACAATGTTGGTAATAAAGGCAGGCAATCAGCAGGGAGATGACACTCATTTTAAGCCTCATTAAATTGATCAAATAAAACAGTGTGTATCAATAGAGAAGGGTGTTCTATTTTCCATCTTCCAACTGAGTATTACAAATAATGAAGAGAAATTTACAACTAGGAAAATATTCTCAATATAGTCTCGTACCATGGGAACAGCATTCTTAGCAGGTTGAGAGGGAATATAACACAAAACTTCTGTAGTCTAACTACATACCAGACCCCAAAAAATTTTAGTCCCCATTGTTAATTTACAAATTCCTTTCCAGAGGACTAACTGGTACATTGCAAGGGAGACCTAGTGGATAACTGAAAAAACAGTGTTAACCATTTCTTACTCCTATAGTACTTGTTCTCTAGATAGCAGTGAAGGTAATTTATGTAAAGCTAAGTGGGAAAAATAAGGTACTTAGTTGTGGTTAAGACGACAGTCAGTGGCAAAGGCTGAAACCCAACTTGACACCCCCCTTTCCCTACTCAACTATAAAGTGCTTTCCATACTGCTGTATCCACGTAAGTGGAAAAATGCCGTAATTGCATGATCATGCCAGAGGCCGGTGCAGTGCTGTCTACCCCAGACTATAGTGCTTTCCCTTAAGTAATGTCCCCCTTTATTGTTCTGTTTTGCTCCCAGTTAGGTATTAGGCATGAGCCCCAAATGTATCTATGAGAATCAAACAAACAAAACCAACCAAACAAAACCCCACAACCTAAATTTGACTATGCAAGACCTAAGGTATGCTATTCCCATTAAAAAACATGACAACAGAATTAAAATATCACAGAAAATACTTTGAATGGCTGTAGCCATGGCCAAGATTTGCTGTGCTTCAAATTAGACCCTAGGGAAAAAAAAAGTCATCTACTTAAAGGATACACAAGAACGATGACTGGAACAGATATTCAGATTTGCCACAAAGTAAGTGGCACTAGCAGCAAGTGCCATCATTGTAGTGGTCTCAGGACTTGTGCTCATTGCAATTAATACTTTTGACACAGCTACTGTCAGTGCTTTATATTAAACAGGATACCTTTGGTGATAACTTGAAAAATTGGGGTATGGTGCTGTGAATGTAGATAATAACCTGAATACCACGTGCTATTTGTAAACAGTTAAATATTTTGAATATTCTAAATGACTCTTAGAGGGAAACAGAGTTATATCTGAGGTCATAGAGATGGATGTCAAAGGACAAAAAAAGGAGAAAACTATAAAATACATAACATAATAACGTAGGAAGACTTAGATTTGTGTGAACAGACTCATAAAATTAAAAAAAAAGAATTCAACACAAATAAAATCCAGCACATTGCCCATTCTCTAATTCACCTGTAGTTATATCCTAGTCCATGGATGACCAGGTATTAAAGGCTAAAATGAATTTGGGGATCTGTATTGTGAAAATGCAGCATCCCTCAGACAAAACCATGGGCTTTTCCACGCTCCCGGAGAACAGGAGCATCGCCAGAGTCACCTCTGAGTCAGTCTCCCGTACTTACCAACGCAGTCCTTTTTATTCCAGTGCAGTTTCTTTCCAGGTGGACAGACACACTCATAGCTCCCCATTGTATTAAGACACCCATAGTCACAGCTACCATTGCTGATGCTGCATTCATCAATATCTGAAATGTAATTAAAGTTGAGAAGAGTATTAACCATTTGTGCACGTCTACTGTACATTAAGATATTATGTGCATAAGGATATCTGTTTTCTACTATATCTTTTATATTTCAGTCTATATAAACGTATAAAAGCAGACAATACTCATGTCAAACAATTTTATGCACATTGAATGTATTTGTCCTTAGACACATACTTAGCTCCCACTCTTGCAGAGATTTATGCATACGATACAATTTACTTGCCAGGACTAGTTACACTGAAATTCTTGGAAGTACTCACATGATACAAAACATGCTCAAAAGTCTCTGCAGCATCTGGACAATAAAGTATATTGCATTATATGAAAAAATGTCAAAGGCATAAACATCTGTGAAAGTCGATCACTTTTGCATAACAGGGAGATAAATTCTCCATAGTGATTCACAGAGTTTGCTTTTAGAAATGATTCAGATGGAGGAAACTATATATTTGATAGGAACCTTACAGCTGAAATGTAGTTTATTTAGTCTTCTACTCCTCAAATAAAAATGAAAGGTAAGAGCTTGCAAGAAGGCAAAGCAATTACCAGGTATTTATCAGTGATATTCCACACAAAATCTTTCAACTTTAGATACATTGGAAAAGTATTTAGTCAATATGAGGTATAACCTTTTTAGTCTATGCAATCAGCATTTATATACTTGTGCTGACACGGCTGATCTTTCATCCTCTCTCCTCCCACCACCAGAAAGGATGTTTATCCATCATGCTCAGCAGGAGTTGTGCTGCCATGTACTCACCTCTGGATCACGCTCAGGCACATTTGGGACACTAGATGGCACAGGCCAAAATTTTGATATGGCACCAGTGAACCATCAGTTGTGCGTTGCTGCTCCAGACTCTTTGATTTACTAGTATAGCTGTAACCTAAAAGCCCTTGTTATGGACCACAGCCCCGTTATTTTAGGTACTGCACTAACCTCAACAAGTGGTTTCTGCCCTTTGAACGCAGCTACCCATCTGCTTGCTAAAACGGTAGTGTTACTGTAACGTAACATGGCATGTAGGTTGCGCCATTTGACATATGCTCAAATGAGCTAGAATGACACCAAATCAACAGGAGATATACTGAATTGCTAATATTAGGTACTGCTGCACTAACCTCAACAAGTGGTTTCTGCCCTTTGAACGCAGCTACCCATCTGCTTGCTAAAACGGTAGTGTTACTGTAACGTAACATGGCATGTAGGTTGCGCCATTTGACATATGCTCAAATGAGCTAGAATGACACCAAATCAACAGGAGATATACTGAATTGCTAATACTCTGGCTTAATGATAGGCCTCAAAATGTAACTGTAGAAGTAAAATTGTCACTTAATGCGTTTCTAAGGGAGGTCTGTCCATAAAGGCTCACAGGCTGAGTGTCTAACTGCCTTTCCAAACCACGCCTGAACCCAGGTTTGAACTCCGATTGCCGTGTGCTTGGCACTGTGTGAATCCATATGGTTTGCAGGAACACAGTCTGAGTTCAAGCCAGTTCTCCCCAGGCACCAATTTTGGAGCCCAGCGACCCCATCTGAAGCCAGAGGGTGAGGAGGTGGGGCTGATGAAGGGATTGGACTCAAGCACACACTTGGGCCCTGCACTGATTAAGAAATGCAGGCCTATACATATTAGCCAAGTCCTCCTCTGGCATCTTGGGGCACTTGATGGGAACATGAGAGTATTTACTGGGGCAGCTGCTGGAATCCAGAAACAGCTTTCTTCTTCTGACGCCTGTTTGGTTAAGCAAAAAGCTAGAAAACATGGAGTACATGCATAAAAGAAACTGAGAAAGACACCCTAATACATCAGGCATGTTTCTAGAAAACATTACGATTTTTGAGTCAGAGTCAGGACATTTGGAGGTCCTGGGTCAGCAATTCCAAAAACTGACGAGGGAGATAGTCCCAGAAAAAACTTTTTCTGGGAAATTTTGTACATAGTAGCCAGGCTTCTTCTGAGTGCAACAGGGGGATCTGCTTGCTAACCCATACTTCAAAACACGCATTTAGTCCACAGTGCTCCTGCCACTGAGCTCTGGCCAAACTGTTCAAACATGAGCTCTTGCTGTCAAGTACCTCAGCCCAGAACCAAGCTCCTGGAGAAGCAGCCAAATTCCCAAAGGCGTTGAACAGTCCTGCAGATTCTACTGACTCTCCTAAGGTCACTTAACGAGCCAATACTGCAAGTAGGGCTTTACATAAACAGGTGGTGTAAGCGCTAGCACTGTCCTTGTAGAAGATTCCCTTATGATACATGACTTCTGTTACAAGAGATGTCATGAAAAGGATCCCAGAGAGAGCAACAAGGGTTGCCCCTCAGCATGGAAGGCCCAGAACAAGGACATTGCCACATAGTTTATTAATTACTAGTAGAGGGGAAGCAAGATGGACAGAAAGCTTATTAAGAGGCAAGTTTGCACCAAATATTTTTGCAGGTTCTCATTATTTCTCCCTAGTTTTGACTTCTGCTCAGTGCCACATGGATGGCAGCCAGGGTGAGTTATTTGTTCCACTGTAAACATCACTCTCCAGGGGCTGGCTAAAACTAACGATAGGCCTGAGCGGCAAAGCTCAGGGCCTGGACAAGTCTGGATTCAGAGCTGGGATTTTGGATCTGCCCATTATGAAAAAAAGTAGGAGGTTTGGATCTGGTTATGTTTTTGCCTGAAGTTCAGCACTGAGTATTTCCAGTTAGAGTTTTGGTCCTACTTCAGTCTTATTTAAAAGACTGAAGCTGAACTGAGGCTGAAGATTATTTGAAGACTGAGGCTAAACCCCAAACTTTGAGGCTTTCCCTAAATTAATACATAAATAAAGTCATTAAAGAATTAACAGTGAAACTGAAGATCAGTCTCTCCACACCCCACATAGGTCCCCCAAACTTTCAGACTCTGATTTTGTTTTCAGAACTGCCCTCAAGTGGAGTCGTCTTCCAAACTCTTTCTGTAGATGGACTCCTATTTCTCTTCCTGCCTGCCTCTACTATACAGTGAATTTGTTACTTACCCTGCTCTATGGAAGAGATACTAACGCACACCACCTATACCCTTCTCCCAAAAAGAAGCCAGGCAGAGATACCATTAGTAGTGTCTCATGTTATCCCTACAAAATCAGGTGAACTCAGCACTCGGACAAGTGAGGGGCTAGCATCTGTTTCTGCTACATCAGTTTGTGTGGCACAAACCAAATCACATGGGAACGGAAACAACAAGAGCCTTTAACTGTATCTTTTTGACTCAGTCTGTAGCACAATTTACTTAGGAATGCATAGAGAACAACTCCTGCATATACTATGTACCACAATGCCTGCTCCACAAATTAAGAGCCGTTAGGGCCCAACACTGTTCTCAGCAATTCCTCTAACATGCTTTCCCTGGCCTAAGTCTGACTCAGATCAGAACCTGGCCTGAATACATGGATTTTGTGGGTTTAAAGTCGAGGCTTTGTTTACAGTTCGATGCAAGCTTTACTTAGTTTGTATCTCCAATAAGTTGAATAATTAAATAATTAACTATTAACCATCTTTTAACTAAACAAAACCATTCAGTTTTACATTTAAAAACAGCACGGAGATTTTCTTTTGTGTCAGTATTTTCTAACAAGTAATTTAGATTCAGGGCTTTCAGGTTTTATTGTAATTTTCTCTTGTCACTTTTGTTTGTGTAATGCTGACCTGACTGGTTAAAACCGTAATTCGGACTTAATACACTTAAGAAATCCCTCAAAAAAATCCCTTTGCTCTCCTTTGACCAGTGTTCTGAACACAGTCAAAACCTACCCCAGTTTTTAAACGTTCAGGCAGGAGGCCACAGCAATACCTGGGGGTGTTAGCCAGGCCGGCGGCAGGCAGTCTCGTACTGTGACACCCCGGCAAACATTGGATTTAATCTGAGTACTCTGAAATTCTGCTGCCTTGATCAAGTAGAAGTTGACCCTCTAATTTGGTCATTGTGGTAATACTGCCCTGTGATGCACTTAAACAATATCCCACTCCTGGATAACCAAACATTACAGCACCAATTCTTCCCAGTTATGCCAAAAAGGTTGAAGAACTGAAGTAGCTCCACAGAAGATGGGAACAAGGTACCCCACAGCCTTCCATTATCAGTTTCACAGGCGGTTTATGTCACAGTCTGGGAAGGACAAATACCAACAGAGCCAAAATTTGTGAACTTTGTAAAACTGACATCCTTCTCCTATTCTCTTTGTTGCCCATCATTTGAAGCCTTCCTTCTGTAAATACAGTTGTGACTAACCTCACTCCTGTGGAAGTACCAATTGGTACTCCGCACTTGTAAACTCTGTAAGGAAGCTTACCCTGTACAGTGCGATGAACCCCAGCCATGAGGCTGCTTTGCAACGGTTGTGGAAGAACGGGTGCATCCACGCGGTGGTGGATGCAAGTGTCACAGCTGCAGGCTTCCAGTCTATACTGAGGCTGCTATGTACCACCATCACAAAAATGCGTGGCCATTGTTTTTTATTTATGGTCTTCTCTTGGGAATGCTTCAACAAATTTGAGACGCTGAAATTTTAGTCACACCCAGCTCATGCTATTTTAGCTTTATTTTAACTTTATTGGTTTGTCTTCTTCAGTTCTAAAGTCCTCAGCTAAAAATGTGTGGCTCAGTAAACAGTTCACAAAGCAAACAAGCAAACAGATAAGCAAAACTCAGTTTCCAAACCTCCACAGTGCGTCAGTCCATACAAGGTGTAGCCTTTATGGCAGAGACATTCGAAGCTTCCAGGGTAGTTGATGCAGGTGTGATCACAGGTCCTTTCGAAGGAACATTCATCTATATCTGAATTCACAGAAAAAGCATTAAGAAATTAGAATTCAGTTAAACTGAATGGCTGGAACGTCACATTCAGTTGCAACATCTTGTTACTGATAAACTAGCAGATATCACCCCAGGTAAAATCTGAATAAAACATCAGTCTCATTCCTCTAGTGTCTTATAAAGAAAGGACTTGCAGGTACATGGAGAAAGGTAAGAAAAGATAATTTAAGAAAAAACATGAAGACCGTATTATATATGTTCACCATTAGATGGCAACCTTTAACTTCTGATCATATGTTCCCAGCAGGGCTGTGGGGGTATTAAGGTTTTGGGGGGTTAGTGGCACAATGGAAAAAAGTTTTCGGTTGAATCAAATCATTCCTTCGTTCAGTGACCACTCCCTCTGACATCTTGCCCACCAGGACAGGGAGTCACTCGCAGACTTCTGCTCTGCCTACGCAAGTCTGTACAGACAGCTGCACAGCTACGAGGGGCATAAGCAAAACGGTGCCTGAGAATAAGCCAGTGTCAGGAATGGACGGGCTGCACCTAAGACAGGAAATCTTAGTCCAAAGTCCACATTCTACCTAATTCAAGAAAATTTGACCTCTTCCCCTTAAAAAAGTCAGGCATCTCTAATTACCACTGCTCACTAATGTGAAACCCATATTTACCTAGTCTCTTCCACCCAGCAGCCTATGAAGAAAGCAATTAACAGCACATCGCTTCAAAGATAGTACAAAGGTTTTGCTGAGCAGGGTGACGTAAAGGTTTATTTGACAGCAGTCATCACAGAGTGGATGTGCTGAAGACCATTACATTAAAGGTACCTTAAATAGCAATGTTTGCAAAGTAACAGCACTTTTGAGTGAATTTTATCCTCAGACGATTGGTTTTCCTAGAACCCTCTTCAGGGATTATTTTTTTCTGTTAAAAGGTCAGAGAAATTAATATAATGGCATTATTTAAGAGTGGTAATTTCAACAAAAATCTCATTCCTCTAATATTTCTGAGGTATAAATGAATAGAATAGTATTCCTTTAATAGCTTGCACACTTTCTAGAGTTGCTTATTAAGAACATAGCCTGAGCAGCACCATTGCTATATATAACTTGGACTTTCATGTTGTACATGCTTAGAAAGATGTGGCTGCTTGAAAAAATATGGAAATTCACAAATACTTAAGGCACAAATACTTAAGGGTGTGCTACTCAATTCCTATATTCAAGTATTATTTATATAGTTTTGAAGTTTAATGAAACATTCTAGGTCTCATCGTGCTGTCATAAATGCAAATACTTAACTTCAAGAAATGTAAAATTAAGATTTTGTGTATCTGTACGCAAACCCAAAATCTGTGTGAGAGTTTATGCACAAATTTAGAATGTTGTAAACAGCTATATTTTATATGATCTCCAATTTTAAGCGTTTCAAAACATTCACACACAAGAGAATTCACAATGGGGAAAGCAACTGTTCGGGCAAATGTATAACATAAAATGAAATACACATGATGACCAAAAATCTATGCTATCCGGTTTTATGTGTGCATCACAATCACTTGTTATGATCAAGCAGCAAAAAAAGGACAACTGAGATTTTATCTTTTTTACATCTATTTCATTTTTAATGCATTTTCCTGTGCATTTTAAAGTATCATTATTTGAGTTCTGAAAGTAATTTCTTTTTAAGGTTTCCTTTATAGTCTTGGAAATATGCAGCTTTTGAATACACATAAACCGCAAACTGTTTCAGTTTTCTCTAAATAAATACATAAAGTAAAATCATTTGGGAATGAATGCTGCAGTTATAGTTTTAAAGGATTTTTAATGCATAAGCAGCCAAATCATACATCATGGTTTCATTCCTTGTAACCTTGTTCGCTATATGGTACTGGAGGAAGTTTACAAAAGCAGTTCATTTTCTGGCCTCTGACTTACCTTGGAAGGCTTTTTCAAAAATAATTTCATATTTCTCAATAGTGATCTTACCCTGTACTAGTTTAGTCAATGGGGTTTATGCATTGCTTTCACAGATACCGCTTTGTGGTGTTACATATTACGGCTTAGGCCTTTACAGGTTTTTCTTCACAGTAAGAAAGATGCATATCCCTCTTTGCCCGTGGAAACAACAGTCTGCCTAATAATACGACCAGTCATCTGCTTGCCACGTAACAGGCACTCACAATGGACAAATGCATTTCTATTACACAAAATATCAGCTACTCATAAACTTATATTGCTTACACTGGCTGGCAGAGACGCTGAAACAAACACTTTTATTATAATACAAAGACTGCTACTAAAAGCTTTTTCGCCATTTAAACCCCTCATCCCACCTCCTGCTGCTGTTCTCATAAATTCAACCTCTGCTGAATTCAGCATCTTGCTTTGGCTGATGGAACGCGGAAAGCCTCCGTGCGGATTTTTCCTTGCTTAACACCAAGCGCCTCGGCCCCCCCTCCTCCTTGCCTGTGGAGGGTAGGGTTAGGCACTGCCCGAGGGACCGAGCTTTCCGCAGCGCCCTATCTGCAGAATCACCAGTCCCCTGAGGAATTCAGCACTGGTCATAGAAAAGGGAAAAATATGCACCACATACTCTTCACTAAAAGAAACCGGTGGTGTGATACAGGATGCTGAAATCCTCTCGTGCCTTTTTTTTTTTTTTAAACTCTGAAATCTGTGTTCTGGGCGCTGTTATCCCCTGGCTCCCAGCAACTTTGAAGTTGGCCCTCACACCTTTATGGTGCTTCACAATACTTCTCCGTATTTACCCTGAAAGGATATGCTTATTTCCCACCACCCTCATGATACGGGTGTATCTCATAAGAGACTGAGAAGCAGGGAGTTACGCCTGGTTTTCACCTTCACAGCCCTAGGTTTCAAATCCTGCTTACCACACAACTGGGAATGAACGTAGGTATCTACATCTTGTCTCCTCTGTACAAATAACACTGCCCAATCTGGTATATTGACTGAAGAGAAGCCCAAAAATACAAAAGCAGAGATGTGGCAGGTTAT